TGGGATGAAGGTGGTCCCGGGTAATAATATGTTTGTGGATTAAGATTTCCCTTGAATCGTGTACAAGATTGCAGGGTTGATATTATTTTTTCCATGTCTAATACAGGAGCACTAGAGAAACCACGCCGTGCAGCTTCATAAGGGAGTCGGACACAATTGGAACCCCCGGTTCCACCACAAGGCGGACGAGTTCTATTTCAACTCACCGGAGAGTTAGAAACAATGTGCAAAGAAATATCCCAACCACGCTTGAGATGGAGGAGTTCTTTGCCCGACATGAGGAGGAGCAACAGAAAATCTTCATTGAGAAAGTATGCTAGTTAAATTGCAAAACCAACTTTAACTGATTGTGATTCATGTTAACTGAAATAGATTAGCAATCTACATGGACCCCCAAATACCATGAAATCCTCATAGTTGGTGGTTGGGTTGTCGCAGGTACAACTTTGACATCATCAACGATTTACCCCTTCCTGGAAGGTATGAATGGGAGCAAGTGATTCCCTAAGCAGAGCCTGCCTATATATTTCAGGGTTCTGATACCATAGTATCTCAGTTGTTATCTTGATGACCATTAGAAGGACGTGCTGGGAAATAGCGGGTGCAGCATCCAAAATCAACCTTTTAAGCCCATGCCAAGGGAACTTATATGAGTATGACCATCATTCGACGAATAATAACAGAGCTATGAAGTAGTCGATAGCGTNGTAAAGTCTTAATGTCTCTAAAATAAAGCACAACATGTAACATGCTTATATTAATGCACTGCTTTGAAGACAATAACACCATGAGCATTTGTCAAATTATTAATTTGTTAGAGAAAATAAAAATGGCAGTACATGCTTCAAGAAAAAGACTAACTTAGATACTTTTGAAGACAATAACATTATATGTCATTTCTCATGCATAAGAATGAGTGAAAAATAAAATTGAGAATAGGAATTAGAGGGAAAAAAATAGAGGGAAAGTTTTTTTTTCTTAAATTTTTTTTCAGTTTTTTAATCATTTTTAAGAGTGAAATGACTTAAATACCCTCACATGTTGTGCACATGGTCTCACTGAACATAAATATGGATGGAATGTTTGAAAAACTAACGGTAGGGGGCAAATTGGGTAAAAAAATTAGTTTGAGTCCTTAATTTTCCAATCGAAAAGTTCAGGGGGTAAATCGAAAGCTAGGTGAAAGTTTAGGGGGCAAATCGACAGTTTACTCTAACAAATTACATCTTTGTAGAGTCACTAATTGCGTTATATTGCTGAGGAGAATTCATTAGTTTTATTACCATTAAGATTAATCTTGATTTATTCAATGAACCAAATTCAATAGAAAATAGTGATATGGAACAAAATTAATCTAATTTCTTTTTTTAAACTTTTACGTTGGGACCCCCTGATCTTGAAATCCTGGATCCACCACTGGTTGAAGATGTATTAAGAGGGTTAGTATTCATGCCATGAATAGTGTGTGACTAGTCCCTCACCCCCTTGCCAGGGGAAACACTCTCACCTGGATGGCCCTTCAAATGTTTATGGCCCTGCCTCAGTTAGGAAGGCTAAGAAATCATATCCATAATCTTTTGGAATTCTAATCCTTTTATTCAAAATAAGGAAGAACATGAGACAAAGGACATCAATAAGTCCCATCTTGAAAGAAAGCTTGAAAATAAGTAAACGTAAGTGGATGTAGTAGAATTTTCCACAATTATTATGAATACATTGAGATGATTGAGATATTATTGGTGAAGTCTGCATTGCTGGATCATTCTCTAGTATCTACCCGACTGTAGGTACCGCCGAGACTCTGCCCTTTTGATCACTGAAAACATACACACGGTTGCAACAAAAATTGTCCAATCTAATCAATCCAGGCTTTAAGATGAGAACTGTAACTGATGGGTTGCTCTTCTCGATTATGGCTGCAGCCTCCGACGCAGGCTTTCCAACTAGTTCCGGCCAAACATATTTGAATTCTGAAAATAGTAAAAATTATCGACCTTCAAATTTGTAGGTGCGTATTTGATATATAAAATAAAAAAATAAAAAAATATAGAAGTAGTGGAGAAAGAGAAATAAGAAAACCTTGACCACAACATGCAGCATTTGTACAGTCTTCGCTGACGCAAGGTGGGTAATGAGGCCAAGAAGCTCCAACCATTTTCTTTTGATTTTGTTGTTGTGTGATGGATATGATCTTCATACATGGTGTGTGTATGTCTATATATATATATATGCACAATAATTATTCAAATTATATTCTCTTTAAATCTGCATTAATTCAGATGAATTGCATTGGTATTTTCTTAGGAAAGGGGTTCTGTATTCTTTGGTAGCTAAATGAATTTGTTAATTTCTTACATTGAATTTGTTTATTTCATACATCGTATTTGTTTATTTGGTGAGCCTTTTTTCGCTGGAAGTGATATTCCCAAGTAGTTCGAGCATGTCGATCTTGCAGGGTGGCAAAGTCCGTATTCAAGTGCCTCTGGAGATTGGTTGGTTGTAATTTAAACGCCTTGGCTGTGTGCTTCCTTATGTCGCATTCCCCTTCGATTCTGTCAATGTCAAAGACTCCTATACTGTTGGGAACTTCAACATTCAGTTTAGAGCACCTCCTCAACCCAGCTTCTAAACTGCAAGTGGGGAAATGGTTTGAGTTGACTCCCACGTCTGCAGTTCCGGGTTCAAAGCCTGTCACCATTCGCATTGCTCTCACTTCAACTACTCCAATTCCATTGCCATATGCACTGCCCATGGTTCAGACGGTCCGTTCTCAAAGTCTTGCTTTTTTCACTCCCTGGAAGGATACAAATATGAATGACTCATGGAGCTTCGATGTTTATGATCCATAATCAGGATCCTGAAATTGTGCATGACAGGGAGCCAATGGTAGCAGAAACAAGAACGAAACATCTCCCCGGAAAGGATGTAATTGGCATTACTCCCTCAGGTGCAACCCATGTGCTAGCTGAGTTTGTTGGAACTGGATGGTCCTTGATGAACAACGACTGGTTCTTTCAGCTCCGGGATAAGTTTGATGAAGAAGACCCCAGCTTCGAACTCATTGGTAACCGAAGGGTGAGTATCTGCGTTATCTTTGATAGTAAAATGAATTTAGTGAACCGTTATTGAAATTCATATACATTAATCACTAACTCATGAATGTTGGTGGTGCAGGTACTTTCACTTCCAGGCAAAAAACTAGAGTATGAAACTAAGAACTGCTCTAAGCAGAAAATGAACAGAACTTTATGACAGCTATCGAATTCTCTCTGCAGAACATCCCTATGGGAAAGCGGTAGCTATGCTCGATTCTAAGGTTGTTTGATGAACAGATCAAGGAAGGGTGGCTGTTACTGCCTGGGATCACCTTGGCTTTTATACTTGCTGATAAGTTGACAAAGGAGGGGTATGGCGGTTTCGATACCAATGTAGAGAGGCAAAAGGAATCGATGGAGAATGATTTGAAGGAAGATCTAGTTCAGTTCAATGAGAAAGGAAAATAGCCAACCAATTCAGTGCCTCGGAGAAATTGGGTCATGGTGTGCTACTGGAGGAGGTGGATGGAAAAGCCAATGGACGGCAGCTAGCCCCATAGCGATTGAATTTCAGAAAACTACGTCATAAACGGATTCAGGACATCGAAAAACATAAACCCACGGACCGTTGTAAGGTGGTAACCCCGACGGCCACGTGCCGCCGTACGCGCCAACATGGGTCACGCGAAAAGTTGGCTGGAAAAGTTGACGGCATCGTTGGCGGAGCACAATGCCTCTGGTGGAGGCGCATATGCTCCACACATCGGCACAGACGGGCACCCACGCGAGGTCTGGTTTCTAGGATCTGACCGGGTCAAGTCGGATCTAGGTCTGGGTTGGCTTGGTTCCAATTGGGTTTGGGGCTTATTTCAATGGGCTGAAGGCCCGAGTTTGCATGGCCCAAAGGTTTGGGTTCAAAGAGTCTGGGCCTGGAGTTTGGGCTTAAAGGTTTTGGGCTTGTAACCCGGCCCAAGGGATTGGATTTGAGTTAGGTTCAGTGGGCCAAAGGCCCTGGGTTTTTGGTTAAAGGGTTTGGGCCTGGTAGCCCATACCCAAGGCTTTGGGTTTCCCGAGCTCCGATCGACTCTGTTACTCAACCCCAAGGTGCGATCTTACTACCCAATTGAAGTTTAGGATGAGAGGAAGAGATTCATACCTAAAAACACACTGTGTGGTGGTTGGAGCTGGTCGGAGTTTGGCTCGAAAGCCACGGAACTCACCGGAGAAGCTTCATGGGTTCTATGTGTGCTTCACAGAGGAGAAGAGAGAGGGAACCCCAACACGGTGGGCATGGTGGTGCCGTCGTCGCCATCGTTTGTCTCGATTTTGGTGTGTGTAGATCGGGGAGTGGGAGAAGGGATTGGTGCGAGAGAGAAAAAGTGAGTTAAGAGAGAGAGTGAACTCGGGGGATAGAAGGGAGAAGAGGAGATAGTGTTATAAAAATAATAAAAAGGGATAGGGAAAATCCCAAAATGGGAGATTCGGGTAGGGTGAGGGGATAAGAGGAAAAATGGTAATTTCATAAATTCGTTAGTATGAAAATATACATAATTTGGGACGGGGTTTCACAAAAACTCATAAATCTTGTGGGATTTATTTATGTGTCACATCAGCACTTAACGAAATTTTTAACATAATTGTGACAAAATGACCACATTAATTTGCGACACCTATTTTCAGGGATTACATTGATTGACTTTTCAGAAACCATCTTGAATGTGAGATCAATTTTAAGAATCATTTGTGATAAAAATCCTTAATTAATTTATTTTTGAAACTTAAAAAGAAAAGGAAATAGAAGGGAGGGAGAGAAGGGTCCACGGAAGAAAATAATTTAAGAGAGAAGGGGCAAATAATGAAAATACGACGAGAATGTAGAGATATAAAGTACCACTGTTCCCTAAACCCCCAACCCTAACTTTTCTTCTCTCTCCCTCTCTCCTCCCCTACCTTCCCCCCCCCCCCCCCACCTTTTTCCCTCTCTTTCCCTCTCTCTCCCCCTTCTCTCTCTCTCTCTCTCTCTCTCTCTCTCTCTCTGATAGATATCGCCTCCGTCAGTTGTCATCACCTCTCTCTCCAAATTCCAACTTCGAAGAAAACGCAGAGAGGCCGGAAGGGCCTGAGATATGGGGAAATACATGAAGAAATCGAAAATTTTCGGCGACGTAGCCGTGATGGAGGTCTCCATTTCGCCGCAGTCCTCTCTCGGAGTTCGGACCAGAGCCAAAACCCTAGCCCTCCAAAAGCTCCAGCAGCAGCAGCAGCAGAAGCAAGAGAATCAAGATCAATCCCCCTCCGGAGAATCGGACTCAGATAGCTCCTCCCTGTACTACCTCCAGCTCAGGAGCCGCCGTCTAGAGAAACCCCCGTTGCGAAACGACGCCGTCAAGAAGCAGAGCCAGAGCGGCGGAATTAATGAGCCCTCGGAGAAGCCCGGAGGAGCTGCTGCTGCGGGGAAAGCCGACGGGGGCCGGTGGAATCGAGGCCCAAATCAAGGCTGAGCGTGGGCTCGTCGGTGGAGTTGGACTGGGCTGGACCCGTTGAGAGGAAGGAGAAGGAAGGGGAGGAGGGGTGTTTTGGTAATTTCGGAAGTGGAGCAGAGTATGGTAACGATTTGGGGGTCGAGGCTTCGTTTGGGGAAAACAACTTGGATTTTGAAGCCAGAGACAGGTAAATTTTGCTTCTTTATTTCTTAGCTCAAATGCGATAGTTTTCTTTTTTCTGTTCTTGTGATCTAAATTGTTTTTTAATTTATTTTTTTTAATTTTAAATATTGATGATTAGCACTGGTTTTGTCAGTGCTTTTTGCTTAATGTTGATGTGAAATATGATTTTCTTGATTAATAATTGTTGGCTTTTAATAATATAGGAGAGGAAATATTTTAAGCTTTTTCAGACTTGAAAAATGGCCATTTCCCTCCACCTCTTCCCTCGCAAGAAATGGGTTTTATTTGAATTTTTTTTCAACTACTGCTTTTCTTTCAAATATAAAGTTTTTAGCTTTGGCTTTTGGGCCGCGCTGTCAAAGTCATCTGCTTCTCATGGTTCCTAAATTTTCATCAGCTTCTTTGTAAAGCCGATTTATTGCTTTTAGCTTAACTAGACAGTGAAAGAATAAGAAGATATACCTGAGCAGATATCATATAGACTATATCTAATTGTGCCTTATCTTTGTAGAGCTAGTTTCATAATCATGTTTTGGCAATTTAGTCTGCATCTGTTACACATTAGGACTGAGGCGACGACACGAGGGACAAACTATTGTTGTCATTCTTTGGATGCGTTTATGTTCTCTCTTTTGATTTGCAAAATAGCATTGATCTCAAAAGCTGGGGGTGTCCATATGACGATGAAATGAGGGAAAATAAAACTATCTTTTGCAGTACCGACAGCGATCACTCTTGGGCTTCATTTGTGTTAGAGCATTAACATATCGTTTTCATGGGGCCTATTTGCCTCTCTAACATTTAAGTTGGACACCTCTTTTTTGGGGTTACTAGTATAGGTGACAAAAACTTCCAGATCTCGTGCTTTTAATTGCTTGCATACACTGCCAAAATGTAATTTGTTTTATTTATTACACTTTTATCTTATTTCTTTGTTATTAATATCACATGGGCACCAAAAGAAAACACATTTTGGTCCCTTTTTGTGGGATGAAGGTGGTCCCGGGTAATAATATGTTTGTGGATTAAGATTTCCCTTGAATCGTGTACAAGATTGCAGGGTTGATATTATTTTTTCCATGTCTAATACAGGAGCACTAGAGAAACCACGCCGTGCAGCTTCATAAGGGAGTCGGACACAATTGGAACCCCCGGTTCCACCACAAGGCGGACGAGTTCTATTTCAACTCACCGGAGAGTTAGAAACAATGTGCAAAGAAATATCCCAACCACGCTTGAGATGGAGGAGTTCTTTGCCCGACATGAGGAGGAGCAACAGAAAATCTTCATTGAGAAGTATGCTAGTTAAATTGCAAAACCAACTTTAACTGATTGTGATTCATGTTAACTGAAATAGATTAGCAATCTACATGGACCCCCAAATACCATGAAATCCTCATAGTTGGTGGTTGGGTTGTCGCAGGTACAACTTTGACATCATCAACGATTTACCCCTTCCTGGAAGGTATGAATGGGAGCAAGTGATTCCCTAAGCAGAGCCTGCCTATATATTTCAGGTTCTGATACCATAGTATCTCAGTTGTTATCTTGATGACCATTAGAAGGACGTGCTGGGAAATAGCGGGTGCAGCATCCAAAATCAACCTTTTAAGCCCATGCCAAGGGAACTTATATGAGTATGACCATCATTCGACGAATAATAACAGAGCTATGAAGTAGTCGATAGCGTATAAAACCAAATTCTTTGACAAAAGAATGAAGGGGCTCCTTTGAGAAGAGATCGGGAAAGAGTGCCTGGTTCTGTGACATATCTAATTTAGTAGATTTTCACTTTGTCATGTCTTAAATGAACTACTGTCAATATTTAGGGTAGGAACGACTCAAAGAGTGCATGTGCTCTTTGGAGGTTAATAAACGTAACTCAATTTCCTTTTCCCATATCTCTCTTGTGTCGTTTCATTTGTTGACGATGACTAATTAAATGGATGACAAACCCTAAAAACCCCTTAGGTGTTGTGGGTCGTTGTTGTTGATGATGATGTTTCCCTGTAGGAAATCTCAAGTAAGATTGCCGCTTTCAGATGTTGGTTGTTTTCTTGTTACAGGTAAGATTGTTTCTGCATTGCTTGTTTTGACTTGTTGTAAGGAGTTAGATTTTGTGATGGATATTGGTTAGGGTTTGGAGTTATCTTTGTCCATGGACCCGATTGCACCCAATTGGACTGGTTGGTTGGATTAGACTGGCATGTGTAATTGTTTCAATTAGTTTCTGTGTTCAACTTGTTGAATTAGGGTTTGGAAGTTTTGAGTGCAAAAACTGGTCCATCTGCCCAATCTTTTTCAGAAATAATGGCGGCCTTGGGAGGAGTTTGACCTCACAGACAAGTTACAGTTTGAGCTTCAACTTTTTGTATTGCTGTTTGTACGAGTGTACAGGGGTTTTAATTATTCTTGCCCAATGATATGTACCAGTAATGATATAAACACGTAATCTCGTTTTTTAAAATAATGGACATGTCATTTTTTGTTCTCGGGCTAGCCATACGGTACTTTTAAACCAATATGACATGTGTTGCATTTTTACTGGTTCATGTCGTTAGGTAAGGGTATGAGGTCCGGATTGTCCAGACCAAATATGTCAAATTATGATTTACAAATAATAATAAATAGCCTTCTAGTCGTAAAGAGTTCGTTTATTGTTTTGTGTCTCAAAATGTGGTAGGGTTGAGCAACTGGTTCTTGACTGATGTGTAGTATTAGAAAAACTTAAGAGCTCCGGGCCTCTTACATGGCATTTTTTATCATATAAACTGTCGTTTTACCCTTGAACAACTATTACTTAAGTTAAAATTGATGTCTGGTAAATTAATTTTTTGAACTATTTGAACTCAACCAATAAACCCCTTATCGGCATATTTGATGAAATTTCATCCACTTTACCGTATGTTAACTAGTGGCACGAATTTACCATCAAGAGTGAATTATGTGTTGCACGTGTGCTAATATTTGACGATAGTCGTTGGAATTTAATTGAAACTAACAGTGAGGAGTTAAGTGACTAATTTCAATTAGTTTAAGAAGTTAATTTACCAAAAAATAGTTCATATGATCACTTTCAACTCGAGTTATTAGAGAATTAATTTTAACTGAGTTATAGTTCAGGGGGTCAATTTCGAACTGTGATAGCCATTTTGTCTTCTCTCCTCCTAAAAGTTTTGTGGTTGCAAAGCAAAGCTGTGGAAGTAAGTGATTCAAGTGTCAAGTGGGCAATTTACTTTTACTGAGTTGTGAGCGTGAATGAAGGCATGAGTGTATGCGTAGACCGTTGTGGGGGATTTCAGTGGTTTTTGGTTTCAGTTCACATGGTACGGTCTGTGCAGTGACTGCATCACTGCCATCACACAATGATGTTTTAACTTAGATTTGCTGCGTTTTCCAAAAAAAAAAACTTAGATTTGCTGCTGTCCACTTCTCTCATCTTTCATATTCCTTCTGTAAAAGTTTTTTGTTTTAACACAACGGTAAAAACTTGCGATCCAACTGCAACGGTGGCCAAGTGGTGCAACTTCTTGCGCTAAGCTACTGTAGCACTACAGCACTACGGTCCATATCATTCGTCTCAATTTTTAAGTGGAAGATCATAAGTTTGATGTACATGAATGACAAGTCCGGAATTAGATTATTGCTAAGTCATTGTGTGGCTTTGTCCAATCTCTCAATCTCAATATTATTGTATCAAAAGAAATTGGAAAAGGATCCTCATTGGATCCTTTTCCTGGGAATCTCGTGATTATAATCGTTCAACGTATATCGTGCGGTCAGAAATCATTTAAAATTTAAAATTTAAAATTAAATATAAATACTACCTAACGAAAACTGACCGCACGATGTACGATGAACGATCATGATCATAGGATCCCTGGGATCCGCAGGAAAAGGATCTGGAGATGATCCTTTTCCAAAGAAACTAACACTAGTCTAGTGCAAGTTGGTATGCATCTCTATTTATAAGCGAGGTCTCAAGTTCGATTCACTTGGATAACGAGTTTTGTATTCATTGAATAATTTAGCCTAAATACTATCTTGATGGTTTGAGTAGTTATCATCCAACCCAATGCATATTAATAACCCAAGTCACCCAAAGTTTAGCCCCATTACCCATACCTTAACATGGGTTCTCGACCGGAGTCGATTCTTACATGTAACCGGAAATAAAGAGATGGGACATATCTCGGTTACACTCATACTGGACTTGGCAAAAGAGAACTCGAGCTGTTTTTTGCGAAAAAGAGTTGAGTGTGGGACAATCCGAATATCAAGCCATCTTATGGAAACTCATCAAAAAGGCGGTAATCGTACATGAAATGCACACAGAAATTAACCCTAACAAATCCCGAGTTCATCAGCACAACTATTGAACGTGATTGCATGCTTTTACCAGTACGTACGTTTTTGCCGGACCAACCAATACAATCCTACTGCTAAAAAGAAATGCATAATGCAACTTAAGTCATGTGATGGCATTGGAGCCCCTAAGTTTGCTCCGAGCTTCGACCCTGACATATCAACGTTGCGTTCACTGACATTTGAAATGGAAGCTGGAAACCTTGTTTCTGATATGATCCGCTCGAAAATCACCCCTAGATAAATCAAATCAAGAAATCCTAGTTAATGAGTGTGTACGCGCGTATGCAGAAAAATATAGTGATGGACTCGTATGCACCTCTATTTCTAGCTTGAATTTGTATATTGATCTTCTGTATATTTCCAGAAAAACGACGGGAAACAGTTCTGTGTTTACACTTCATTGTTTAATCCAATTTCTTAGCTCTTCTCTTTGCTCTCCGCAACCTAAGAAACAAGAAGTTCTGCAAAAGAATTATATACCACCGACGAAATTACAAGCTGCCTTCGTGCCAACATCCAACCTATAGACGACGAAGCATGCATGGAGTTGGAAGAGATTGTCCTTTGAAGGAGTATCATCAGTGATGTTACTTATCACCCTCAAGGGCCTGAGAATGTACAACCAAAATGTTGTCCAAATCGGCTTTGGTGAGGTTGTTAATCATAACAAAGAAACTTTTCCGGTACAGGTAAAGGTCTTGTATACTAACTAGGAACACTACTTAGAAGTACTCCAGCGTTTCCTCACTTCTGAGGCTGAGTAGTGTAGGGAGCAGCACGCGTGCCAGTGTTCCAGTAATCGCAGACAACAGAAAGATGAAGATTGGGTCTACAGAATCAGTCCGTATGGGAGAAATTGAGACTATCACAAGTAGTGAAAAGGAGGCTGTGTATAAGACTGCTGTGCTGCCAATGACGAGGGTGTGAAGGTAAGGCTACTAGCTTCGGAGGCTTCATGCGATATTCCTTTCTCCTACAGCCAGATCGACACTCTTACTACCGGGGAAATAGCTAACAGCAACATCGACGATGGAATTTACACTCTCGTTTCAAGTTTGACACCAGAGAGGAAAAACTTTGATATTCCACTAGTAATTAGTATTGCGCTTGTACTTGTCATCGATTCTTCGTTCATGTTTCATGTGAGCGATTGTGATATTTTTGTTGTTTGATAATTTCCAATAAAACCGAATCAATGTCTTGAGTTTCGAATGGAACCATTTACAAGAATAAATTATAACGTATCTTGTTCTTTGGTTTTTCCTTTTTTCTTGTATGCAGATGAGTTCTAGGACTGTAGGACAGTGCAATCCAAACCCGACCAACATAGCTCAAGTAAATAGCACGTCACAAAACCAAATCCAATTTCCATAAAACTACATACTGGTGAGTCTAGACGAGTGACTTTAACGTTTTATTGAACTTAGAATGCACTACAACAACTAGATAGATGAAATCGAGCAACAAAAATATAATGGATAGATGATTGAAACGTTAACAAGTCACTAGTTCATCAGCACAAGGATTGAATGGAATGGATAAGTTTCCATGTTCTAACCATATACGTACGTTTTTGTCCAGCGGAACAGTCCTACTACCCAATACATCCCTACTGCTAAAAAGAAATGCGTATTGCAATTTATGTGATGCTATGGCGTTGGAGGCGCTAATTTTGCTCCCTGCTTTGCTTCTGACATTTCGACTTCACATGCACTGGTATTTGTAGACTTTTCATTCTCCACTGCCATTTCTTTGATCCTCTCTTGCTGTATCGCACACAGCTCGTATCTGATAATCAAATCAAGAAATCACGTTTAATGAGTGTGTATGCATACGCAGATACTGAACATGTTCTAGGCAAGCAAAACATCGCATAGTTCAAAAGCGTAATGACGCACATGTCTTGACAAACTATAGTGATCGCCACTTGGACTCGTATCATTTTGTGCACCTCTGTTTATAGCTAGAATCTGTAAATTTGAAAAAGTACAGTGATGGTCACATTTAACAATTCTGATTTTAACATGACTCTTTAGCTAAGCATCATCCTGTTGTCAACAACTTTTCAGGGATCGAAATAAGCTTCAGGTGAGAGCGTGACAACAGCATTTCAACATTGTCGACATCTACTATAAACTTATAAGCCTTATAATGCCAGACTAAATCAAGAACTCGGTGCTATCTGATTCACAACAGAGCACATTTTGTTCCTTCAACTCCATATGCTTGTTAGTTATAAGATTCAAACGGAGGTACACATATTTCTGTGCAATCCAAGCCTATTTGTTTGACCAAATCAAATCCAAATGAAAGTTGAGTATTCAAGTTCGTTGAGATGATTGGATCGTTTTTGTTTGATTTGTTTTTCAAAACCAGCCTTCACTGACCCTATGATAGGAAGAGAATACGAGTCTAGAGCTCCATCAGGAACAATCATGTTCCAAACACTAACAACATAATTGGCTCAAAATATTCAACTTAAACCACCTAGATGAATACTCCTAAATCCCATCAACAACTAATCAATCATTCCAGAATTCGAACCATGATCTCATCAGATAACATTGGTGCAAAATGATTGAAAATCTGAAACTTGTAAAATACTTACGCCGCCACTTGTTTCTTGACAAGCATAAAGTACACTCTCCAAAATTGACGTTCCTTCAGGTAGCGGGGGCATAGCTTATATCTCAGATGTGAAAGCTCCTGAAAATACGAAAGATCCAATTCATAAATATGCTCTTAAAGGGTTGTACAATGCAGTCCAGGTCCAAGTTATAACTAACAAGAAATGTAGATAAGGTATCTGGAACATCTTGTGTGATCGAACTTCCCGAACTACTTGGACTAAAACCATTTCTTATTTGTCCTACAAATTCAACACAACTAAAGGCACCAACCATTAAAAAAAGCAATTGCAAATTGCTAGAGAACATCCTAAAAGGCCAAGGAGCAACATTCTACAATTGTTGATATAAATTTACATCCTTCACTAAACCAACTTTAGAATTGTGAATTTGACATCAATTACAAAAGATACTAAACATAAACAATGAGCTAGAACTCAAACCTTCACTCTTGAAAGCACAATGGTGGCATGCCTTTCCTGCCATCCAGACAGATCTTCATCTTCTTCAGCTCCCTCACCATCTGCACCGCCATCGAATCAATGCAAATTTAACTCCATTTACAAGAAAAGAAAGAACCCATTACAGTCCTTATCCCCACAAAGAAAACCCAGCTTATAAATTTTCATTATTTACCCAAAAATCAAATTAACCCAAGAAAAAACCAATTATCAAGCTCAATAATTACCGTCTAAAACACCAAAGAAACAATAAAAATTAAAATTAATTCAGAAAGGTGTTATCTTTTATATACCTGGAAGTGGGAAATTCCTGAAAGTGTCCAAAGTGAAGGACTTGACAAGATCGACCAATTGTTCTGTGACTCCCAGCTGCTCTTCTTCCTTTTTGTTTTGTTGGGGAATGAGGGTTTGCTCTGAGGGATCTGGGCTTTTGGTCTCTTCGCTATTCTTCAAGAGTTTGCGTCGGAACCACGAAGATAAATCCATTGGCGATGACAGAGTGCATGGTAGTGAACACAGAGATGATGAACAACTGAATTTTTAATTTTTATTCTTTTTCTCGGAGACAAGTTCGTAATCTGCTGCTTTCTGGCTTATCGTAACGAATTGCTGCGAACAAGTCACTGGACTAATGGTCAACGGCCCGACTATACTTGACGTGCAATATGGGCTTAACTTTTAAGAAATTATTAACGGGCTAGTTTTCAGATTAAGGTTTTAAATATTATCTATAGTACGGTTAGAAAAGCGTGGTAAGTTTTACAATAGACTATTAATATCAACTCAATTCAAATTTATTTTTGACGAGAATTAGATTTAAAATCTCTCATTTACAAGTAACAATGAATACCACTAAACCCGTGACACAAAGAATGGAGATGTAAATAAGTCGAGGTAAAGTTGGCATCAAGGCATTTAATGCAAGATAATGGGCAATTTAAAGAAGGGGAAACTTAATATGAATCCAATTTTGTGAGTCATTTTTTAGATGAGTCCAATTATATTTCATGTTAGTTTTTTTTCATTTTCATACCAATTTACCCCTAAAATTACTTATAAGTAATCAATATTATCCCTTGATTTTAGGATTAGTATTTGTGATAAGTTTTACCTATTTGAGGTTTAAAGAATAAAATTCCCTTAATGATAGGATAATTGTTGGAATAAAATTACTTCCTATATATCTCCAAGTGAGGATACGCCTCTTCATTTATCTATTCTTTCTTTTTAGTTTGTTATCTAAAAACTTTTTCTTACTTAGGATTTATCATTTGCCTTGCGAATCTTCTTCTTCTTTATCATTGTTCAGTTTTCCCCTTCTCTCCTTAGGCTTCCACTATATATGAAATTTGATTCTGTTTGATCAAAGAATGGAGGTTGGTTGGCTTCTTTCATCAAATTGCTTGTTGTGTTCAAATTAGTTTTTGAGTTGTATTTTTACTCAAATTAATTGATTTCATGGTCGATATTTATCTACCTGTATAACAAGATTTTGTTATATAATTGCTTCTATATGTTTTCCTATATTACATAGTAATTTATCTTGCTTGTAGGTAGGTAAATTGTGTATTTGTACCTTTCAGTTCGTTTATCTACCTATTGATTAGATATATTTTCTTCGTTTGATATCTTATTTATAGATATATGTACATTTATGTATTAGTACCTTTTAATTAGGTTGAATATTTTTGCAACTTAATCTATGATAAAAATATTTTATTTTATTAAAAGGTAAATAATTGAAACGTTTTTTAAATGTTTAGTAAATTGCATATGTTTAAATATTCAAAATTTGAAAACAAAGGGTAAAATAGGTTTAAAAAATAGTTAAGTGGACCTAAATTAGAAATTTCAAAAAATTGGACTAAAGCCAATAGTACGTGAATTTTTTGGACCTATATCTTAATGCCCCTTTAAAGAATCTTCATTTCTTAAAAACCTTCAGAGAAAATGTCCATGGTCGAGGATTCCCGAAGTGAAGAGGCAATGTTTGGGCCTGAAATAACAATTTGGGGATAGAAAGGCCGACCCAAGAACCATAAACCTTGACCCAATATGCATCCTTCGGCCCAATGGGCTTTTACCCTATAGATTGGATAAGTTTGACCAAGTCCTTATGAAGAAAGGATTGTGAAAAGGTTAAATGTGGGTGGCTCAGTCAATTCCTATACAAATTGAAATTGCTAAGGATTACAATAAGCCTTGGTAAATACGAGTTATCTTGGCAATAAGAATACCTATATAATCAGATAAAGATGAATGAGTCTTGTAATGGGACTAGGTTCAGAGTCTTGGTGAGAATCAAAGAGCCCAAGACAGGATGAAAATGAAGTTTCAGCTGAAAGGGGATAAGGGACTATTCAAGCAAAATGTTGAGCATGCACAGTCCAATTACGACTCTACCTTACCGGGCTTGTTATCATGGAAGCCTGCTCTATACATAAAAGAGGCTCTGCAACATTGAAAGTCCCTCAACTCAACAAACAACTCAAACGCTCTAGGCAAAACCCTTTTCACACTATTTGAAAAGAAAAGAAATAACTGTCCTAACCTTCTCGTCAACACATCTTCAGTTTAGACTAACAACACTGTGTTGATAACCGACGACATCTTTAGTTTGGACTAACATCACTGGAGTCGTAGAATCAAGCGATCAATGAGCATTTTCAATTTGGACTAATAACACTGTTTCTAGTTGTTTGGTTATCTACCCAAGTCTCAACTGGTGAAGAGCTTTTAACTTTCTCACCGAAATAGGTCACTTCATTAACTTCCTAGTGAAGTGGAGTGTTCTATGATTGATTACTCTCAGGTGCATTTTGCAGTTCGACATCAGATGGTTGAACCATGTGGACTATAAAAACGCTCATCTCCTTTGAGTACATGTGTCCCTACAATCTGATACTAATTCACTGCACCTATACTCGTGATATGGTTGAGTCAGCGGGACATGGTGCAAGAGATCCTAAACTTTGCAGTGATCTAGGCAACCTTGTCTTCAGGTTCTAGAACCCAAGGCCGAGACGTGTTCTTTCATCAGTCGTAATCACTTATGTACAGAAGTCAGCAGCTCATTTGACACTACCACCACTAATTCTATTCTACTCACTAGACCAAACTCGGTTACGAGTTGGCAATCCTGCATTCACTAGAAAGGACATAGTTAACTCATAGTTACTCGCCCTTCGTGCTACGTAAGCTTTGTAATTTCTAAGGTCAACACAATCCTAACGCAATGAAAAGATAGAGGAGTTTAGAGGAAGAAAAAGAGATTGTGAAGATCATTTACCACAAATGTTGTTGTGTAGATTATTGCTGAAGTACATAAGATGAGAATATGAAAGATAAAGTCTCACATCAAAAGGTACCAAACCTTCATTGACTTATAGAAAATTAAACTACTTCTCATATTACTAATTTTTATAATAAAACTCGAAGATCAACGGGTACATCTAGTAGTTCATCATAGCTAGGGCTTAAAAGATTGATGTACTAAAATATTAAAGTCTGAAAGTATAAAAACATGTAAGAGGGTGGATAAAAGTTTTCGTGAAGCCCATCAAAGGACTATTAACGGGCCTTGAAAAACTAGAGGCCATCAAACAATGAGGATGGGTTGCTTTGCATTGTACGTCCCTTGTGAAGCCCTTTCCAAAATTGTAGTTTTTTCATTAGTGATCTTATCTTTCTGAAGTTAAAGTTCTAAAAAATTGAAAAATTGAGCTTAAGATCTTTAAAACATCCAAAACTTTGGGATTTTTTTTTTTTGGGGTATGATTTCTCAATCAAAACTTATCTCCATTTGAAATCGTATCCACCAGAATTAGACAATTAGCTTGAATACGTGGTCCCCGAAATTGAGAGAAAGGAGCATACAAAAATAGATAGAGCTTAGGAACCATACCTTTCATGATCTTGTACGTATGACTATGTGACATTTGAATTATGTTACATTTATGACCAAACAAAATTCAATAATTTAGAGGATACAGTGTCACATCTCAATTGTGTGTAACTATAATTTGTAACTATATATATGAATATAGTAAGTGGCAGAGCCATGACTAATTGACAATGGAGACATAATAAGAAGCTCTAAGTTCAACCAAAAATATTAAAAGTGAAGATATTTATTCCATTTAATTAGGAGTGCGTTTGTATTTATCACCATATTTATCACCATTATATGAGTTTGAATTTTGAGATTTGTGCATATCCATTCCACGAATCTCAAAATTCAAATTGATCTAACGATGATAAATAGGATGATTAGCATACATCACACTAAATAGTGGTGAGAAAAAATGCTCCCTTTAATCAGTTTGTGTATGAGACCTTTACCCCATGGCTTTGTAGCTAGTTTTCCCTTGCGTTTGAACCAGCGGTCAAGAAATCTTTGTATAAGGACTATGCTTGGCTGATCGGTAAGGGATTTTAGGTTGCTGGGTTTGGATTGGTTATGGGTTCAGGACTATTATTCGTGTGGGAAAATAAGAGCTTACTGTGGTCACTTGCATCTATTGTCTCCATGCTAACTCCGCTATTGAATATATAGTAAACCCATGCACAGTTGGAGCACGTAAACTGTAGCATCGGATGCCTTTAATTGGGGTTTGTTACATTGTTTGTGTCTCATCACTAATTGATAATTACTTTGGAACACTTGGCATGCAAGTGTACTCTAATGATGGGGACTCACTTTCCTTGAGACCACCACTACCACAATACAATATATGCACGCCTTCAATCCTCAGTAATTTCCATCATCCTTAATATATGGCCTATATATCTCTGTGAAAAAGGTGGTTTGTGAATTCTTTCAAAAAAAAAAAAAAAAGGTGGTTTGTGAAAGGGTGCGTGGTAGCAAAATGTCTCTAAACTTTATCCATGTTTAACTTTCGTCCCTATACTCTTATATTAGGTGTCAAACGGAAATGACACTATCATTCGGCGAATGTGAAACCTAACTTAGGTAAAAAGCTAAACAGGTCGTCATTTGATACAATATAAGAGATGAGTTCTATACATCACGAGAAGGAAACAAAATTTGACTTCACGTAGATCATGCATATTCAAACCTTAGAATTCATTCATAAAATCGATCACCATCCTTAACTTTAGGATCCTGCTCTCCATGCATTTTATTACATACATGCATTCATATATTATATTATCGTTGGCACTGAAAATTATAAAATTTATGTGGCACACAATAACTAAGAGCTAATTACGTCCTTCAATGGCTTGAATGCTGATGCAGACGTGCCAATTTGCCCCTGAGCTCGACTAGACGAATAATTTAATGTGGTGATGTGATAGGATAAGCTACTTACTTCTGTATCGAGCACCTTCGGCCGATGAAGGATACGCTCAATCTTGAGTTCTAAAACCTGAAGACAAGGTTATCCAAATCAATGCGAAGTTCTGAATTTTGTGCATCAAGTTCGGCAAACTCAACTATATTGATGATAATATAGGTCTGCCGAATCATATCAAGCTGTATGGACAAAGATACTTAAGGAGACGAGTGTCTTAATTGTAACGGTGGTTCTGTTGTTTGCATGCCAAACTT